TTAAAAGAAAGTAATATGATATATAGTTTATTGTCAGAAATGTCGTAATCATGACACTGAATATCATTCTTGAGTTTGGAGAATTAGGTGTCTACTGTTTGTTTCTTATTTGGGAACACTTTCTATAATAATGTGTGTTTTATCAACAGCTCAAGAAAGATAAAAAGAAACCAGATTGCTGAAGCTACATAATTTCAAGTATAAAAGTTATGTCTACCAGTTTCTTTCAATATCAGCACAGTTTAACTGACATAAACTTTAATTTCTTAATACATTAACTGGAATCATTATCATTGCTTCAATGATAAAATTAAATGGATTATTTATCAGAGCACCTGAAAAATACATCTCCTTGCAGATTATTGTGTGCAAATCATGCTGATCTAGTTGCTAATAAAAAAAATCAGAATAAGTAAGTGAGTAACTAACCTCAATGACATATACAAACTGCATTTCAGACTCATCCAAGTGTTTATTATTGAAATCCCTGTGCAGCTTTCTCAAAAGTGAGACTGAACCATGTGGAACCACACAGATTTGTCTGATTCATGCTGAAAGCAAAATTAGATCCCTTTGATTCACCTTTGCTATACGGCTTCAGTTCCCCTGACTTCATTTAATTGATGACAAGAGGCAAATGCAAGTGAAGAATATGAAGAGGGGAAAGAGATGGAGTGCAGTAATGACCACAGCCAGACACGCTTTTGAAATATAGACTGCTTCTTCTTGACACCAAGTTCCAGTGCTCTGTCACTCTCCCTGCGTCTCAGCCAAGTTTTCTTACATTTAAAAAAATTCATCTAGTGCTCATTCCAATCAGATATCTCTAGTAAAATCTGTGATGCCAATCCTCTGCTCATTAAATGTAGCTCCAAACTCAGTTTCCTCCTAGAACAGACCTTGCTGTATAACCTGGACTTTCATTCACAGTGTCAAAAAAAAAAGTTATCTTATAAATTATGCTGCTCCTGCAGGCATCCAGGCTTTTAAATCAACACTCTGCTTTGTCTCGGTGCAAGGCTTTCATGCCTCCGCTTGCATAAATTATAGCTTGTATTTCAGTACCTGGATACCTGGTTTATGCATCACTCCTTCTTCGAAGCCTCTTTTATCCCAAAAATGACCTTCTCAAGAAATAATTTAAGCATGATTCCAGAGAGAAAAAGAGACAGAGAGATCTTTCATCCATTAACTTATTTCGCGAATGGCCACAAAGTATAGATCTAGGTCATGCCAGAGCATGACTCTGAACTCTAGGCAGATCCCCCAGCTGTATGGCAGGAGCCCAAGCACATTCGTTGGCAGGAAGCTGGTTCAGAAGCAGAGCAGCCAGGACTTCAACCATAGTTCACACGTGATGCCAAAGTCACAGGTGATGCATTAACACACTGCCACACGTTGGACCCTCATTTCCTTCTCTTGACTTGCCACCGTAACTCTTATCTGTTATACACACTCGTATGTAATGATTTGAGGTTTTGTACATCTTCTCTGTAGACATGAATCCTATTTATTTGGGCGCTGTGTGCATCCAGTTGCTCTTATCATGCAAAATTTATTATGTTATATATGATTCAGGAAGAACAAACAATACCCGGTGTTTTTTCTTTTTAATAAATATGATACTGTCTTAAGATTTATCTCCAATTTCACTGTATTACAAATAATTTTTTCAAGGAATATTTTAATATAGAGATTGTTTTATAGCCTTCCAAGGAGCATTAAATTTAGCAGTGAATAATATAACTGCTAAATTCATTTGAATATTAGAAATGAATGAAAAGGAATTGTTGATTTTCCTATATGTTGCCATTTAAAAACTTTCTCCTTGAAGATTAATTTTTATGAATCTGGACATTGGAAATTTAAAAACTATTTAACTGGCCCATATTTATATATAACTTTGCAATAGTAATTTTTTTTTTTGCCTATCTCCATTATCTTGAGAAAAAGATGAGGTTATTTTCAGTTAAGCTATATTTCACGGAACAAAATGTGAGTCCAGCCTAGGGAATCTCTCCACAGTATATTCATGTATATTTTACACAACATTGGGAGATAGATAGCGATATATATTTATTTCCAAGTTCTTGATAGAGAAGCTAAGAGATTAATCATTCAAACTCATGCAGTAGGTAGACATAAAAAAAAAATCAGTAAAAGCTTTGTTGTTTTCTGCCTGGTAACATTAACCAAAGCTATTAAAAATGTTAAAGCTAAATAGCATACCGACACATATTTATTTTTTGAAACATAGTTACATAATACAAAGCACTTAATTTTCTTGGACTCTAACCAATGCCTCAATCCTAGTTGAGTCCTTCTCTGTATTTCTGTATATCATCTGTGCTGGTCTATCTCACAAGGGATCCGATTCTCATCATCTGTCTTTTCCAATAACTGATCTGAACACAATTTTCTTCCAAAATTTAATATAAACTTCTCCCAATATGCTGTGAAATGAGTCAAACTTAGAATAAAAAATGAAAACTTTTATTTTAATAAAAACTCAATTATATGCTTCTGTGTTAACTCACTTTTAGAATGTGAACTTGGACAGCAGGGCAGAGATCCTAATTTTTTTTTTATTAATTTCACTTCTTTCCCAGTATAGAAATATTCACTTTTGGGGATTGAGAAACCCCATAAATATTTGAGTAACTAAATGATGGAATCAAATTCCATGTGGGAAGATATTTTTTTATCTGATTTAGATGCATATATTCAATATGTGAGCCATTCCAGCTAATAGTCATAAGTGAATTTAATGTTTCTTTTGCATATTTAAACATATATGTCTAACTTTTGAGTACCTGTAATATAGAGAATCATAGAAGGATCTTCAAAAAGTTTTTAAGTAATTTAAAATTAAAATATAGAGTTTTTCAGTGCCCAAAACTGAAAATCATGCAGGTTTTCCAAAATTTACATTTCCATGAACTTTTTGAAGTCTTCTCATATAGTCACATAAGATATTAATTTATAAAGAAACAGACAGGTAAATATATAGCGTAACTCTTCAGCGTTTTGTATAATACAATTTGTAATGTATCTGCTTTATTTTCATGTTTGCAGCAACTTTCCTTAATCCTGTAACCTCTGCATGCTCTGGTTTAGCAATGACAAATGTATGGCCAAATGCTAAATCAGAAATATGACTTTCAAACATTCTTTTAAAAGTTTTTAAACTTAAAGCCTTTGAAGTGAAGTGTATTCCTCACAGTATCACAAGTTACACTCTTTTTTTTGGTGTTTGATATCTTGTGGAATCAAACTAAATTTAACTTCTTGCCTATAAAGCTTTTGAGAGTTGGGCCCGGCACGGTGGCGCAAGTGGTTAAGGTCCTCGCCTTGCACACCCGGGATCCCATTTGGGCGCCAGTTCTAATCCCGGCAGCCCCGCTTCCCTTCCAGCTCCCTGCCTGTGGCCCGGGAAAGCAGTCGAGGACGGCCCAAAGCTTTGGGAACCTGCACCCACGTGGGAGACCCGGAAGAGGCTCCTGGCTTTGGATAGGCATAGCATCAGCCGTTGTGCTCACTTGGGGAGTGAATCATCGGACGAAAGATCTTCCTGTCTCTCCTCTCTGTATATCCGCCTTTCCAATAAAAATAAAATAAATCTTTAAAAAAATAAAAAAGATAAAGCTTTTGAGAGTTAAACTGTTGTCCCCTTATGTTTCGAAGTTGCTGGTCTCTAAGTCTAAGAGAAGCTCAAAACACTTGCCTTGAGTCTCTGCCCTTCGTTTACTGAAAACTACATCAGGTTGCATGGCAGGCACTAGCATTTTAAAAGGAATATGAGATTCTTGACATATGGAAAGATACAGTGATAAGGAGAGTGATCTGGTGCTGCAGCATATGCATAAAGTGTGTGGAAGATGTTAGACCAGGGTCATGCTCCCTTTCTCTCCCCACTTGAGAACATATTTACCTCCTAGAACTTATACAAGGACTAAGTGAATAAAATACAAGCATCTATGAGGAAAGAATTTTTTTGGTCAGTCTGACACTCTTTTTTTTTTTTTTTTTTTAAAGATTTATTTTTATTATTTTATTGGAAAGGCGGATATACAGAGAGGAGAGACAGAGAGGAAGATCTTCCGTCCGATGATTCACTCCCCAAGTGAGCCGCAACGGGCCGATACTATGCCGATCCGAAGCCAGGAGCCTCTTCCGGGTCTCCCACGCGGGTGCAGGTTCCCAAAGCTTTGGGCCGTCCTCAACTGCTTTCCCGGGCCACAGGCAGGGAGCTGGAAGGGAAGCGGGGCTGCCGGGATTAGAACCGGCGCCCATATGGGATCCCGGGCGTGCAAGGCGAGGACTTAACCACTTGCGCCACCGCGCCGGGCCCCAGTCTGACACTCTTATGATGCACTTTATAAAAATAGATGAAGATCTATAATCAGTTTTTCAAATTAGAAACAGTTTTATATTTCCAAACAAATGGTTCAGAGAAAAAGTTCTCAGAAGTGTTTATAATTTGCTGAAGAACTGCTTTATTTGGCATATCATTTGATTTTGCACTGTGACTCTTTAAAAGAACAATAAAATGCATATAATTATGCCTACATTTACTGAAAAAAAGAAGGTAGTATAGACATGACAATGCAAAATTCTCAGGAAGCAAATTATAAGTGTATAGAACATGATAAGAGCATATCAATTATGGTATCCTTTGTCATGCTGAAGAGTATTGGAAATTCACAAAAGACCATATGCTCATCGACATTTTTAATATTTTGACATTTTAATAATAATTATACACAATTTAAATATTTTAATTTAAATGTTATATTTTTAAACCCTTTCCCAAATAGTTATATTATTTTCAGAATCAGGGAAGGTTTCACATTGCATACCGTATTAGAATTATTGTGGAAGGTGGATTCTTTACTATTAGGTCTTGTTAGAAATAGACATCACATTATCTAAAACGATTTCAGTCCGCATGAGGAATAAGTTAAATGAAATGATGCTTTTAAATTGTTATGTATCCACAGATGATAATGAGTGTGGAAATTTAACCCAGTCCTGTGGTGAAAATGCTAATTGCACTAACACAGTGGGCAGTTACTATTGCATGTGTGCACCTGGTTTTAGATCCAGCAGTAACCAAGACAAGTTTATCACTAATGATGGAACCATTTGTATAGGTAAGTCCAAAAGTAACTAAAAAACGATATCTGTATCTGACTAAAACCTAAATCTTTCAGACACCGAATGCATCATGGTAGTTACATAGATTCACGTTGTTTCAAAATTCATCCTTGATAATGCCAATGTTTCATTATAAATGACTGTAAAATATTTATTCATGAAAATAAGAAAGAAATTTGGGGGGGAAAGTAAAATGATTACTGTAAAAAAGAGATCAGCATGATGGCACATAACTAAATATTTACACTGCAAAATAATGTATTTTTCAAGAAAATTATCATTTTTATCACAAGATAATATTTTCATATGCATATGCACTGTGAAAGACTCTATATTTTTATTCAGGCAGTCACTACTTACATAAAAGAGATGTTCCAGGATTCTTCCCACTGTCTGAATGAAAACTATTCATACAAGATCAGCATTGTCTCTCTTTTCTTTTTCTTTCTTTCTTTTTCTTTCTTTCTTTTTTTCTTTCTTCCTTCCTTCCTTCCTTCCTTGCTTTTTTTCTTCCTTCCTTCCTTCCTCCCTTCCTTCCTTCTTTGCTTTCTTTTCTTTCTTTCTTTCTTTCTTTTTCTTCCTTCCTTCCTTTCTTCCTTCCTTGCTTTTTTTCTTCCTTCCTTCCTTCCTTTCTTTCTTTCTTTCTTTCTTTCTTTCTTTCTTTCTTTCTTTCTTTCTTTCTTTCTTTCTTTCTTTCTTTCTTTCTTTCTTTCTTTCTTCTTTCTTTCTTTCTTTCTTTCTTTCTTTCTTTCTTTCTTTCTTTCTTTCTTTCTTTCTTTTCTTTCTATTGTATAGACAACATGACCCTTCCTTCTTTTTTTAAGATTTATTTATTTCTATTGAAAAGTCAGATATACAGACAGGAGGAGAGACATTGAATCACTCTTCAAAAGGCTATAACGGCTGCAGCTGAGCCAATCTGAAACCAAGAGCCCAGGTCTCCTACATGGGTGCAGGGTCCCAAGACTTTGGGCCATTCTCGACTGCTTTCCCAGGCCGTAAGCAGGGATCTAGATGGGACGCAGGGCCTCTGGCCCCAGAACTGGTGCTCACATGGGATCTCAGAGCATGCAATATGAGGACCCCAATCTCTACGCTACTGTTCTGGGCCCCAACATTGTATTTCTATTAACACTGCAGTCTAGTTTAGGAACTCATCTCAGAATGACAAAAAAAAAAAAAAAAAAAAGAACAAGAAGAAAAGAAAAGAAAAAGAAAAAAAAGTGCCCTGTAAAAATAATCATTTCAATTCAGTCCCTAAGAGAGTAGTAACTTATTCTGAGTCTGGACAGAGCTATAGATTTTTTTTAAATGTTGTTCTACTGAAATTCATCATACATGTGCTTTATCCAAATGTACATAATTTGGATTATACTCCAGGGAAAAAAAGATTGTTTAGAAACTTCAACAAACAAAAATTTTTCAAAATCAAAATCTCTATAAAGATTTTAACTTTCAAAATAGATGTAAATCCATAAATCATGAGGTTTAAAAACATTCAACATATTAGAAACTAATGTAGTTATAATTGATAATCTATAAAACTCATGACTTTGTTTTATGGTTTTTCATTTAAGGGGATGTATAACTGTGTAGTAGTTATTTCTATAAAAAAATGAATCACCCAATAGAATTATCACATATAGATGTGAAGATGCAATGCAGTATGCATCTCTATTTCCAAATCAAAGATGGACTCCCACTAAGACTGTTGAATGTATCTTGACAATAGGATGCTGGATTTTCTGCCTTTGTCCATGCCTACAATATTAGGATACACTTAAGTAGCAGAATAATGGACTTACGACTGTGAAGGATAATACTATTGTAATGACATTGGGGATACAAAGGAGGAGGCAGAGGGGACTGGGATTTGGAGAAGGGGCATGGAACTATATCATGCAATAATAAAATATATTAACTAATTAAATGTATAAAACTAATAGACAAATTGAGGCTCTGAGAATTACACCAAATGTAGGGACAGAACTCAGGACTATATATGCAGCACAGCAAGGAGTAATGCACTGCTTTCCATCTTGCATGGTGTTTAAAAGACGTATTCATGTCAATGTAGATTGCTCTTAAGTTCTTAATTAATTTCCTAATGAGAATCTCATCAGTAAATCAAGAAAGTGTCTGCTACTATTTAACTGGGAGATGTGTTCAAAGAAAACCTGTCAGTGAAATATCTGTGCCTATGCTTCCCACCCCTTATTTAGTGATATATACAGGCAAGATGTTATCATTTTTACTTAATAGTTGATGAAAATTCAGGGCTACTCCAGACTAGGGTTGTAGTTTTGTTGTTTTTTTGAAAGCCATCATTATTTCTACAGAAATTTAAATGGATCGGCCATTTAAATTTCATATTGAATCATGCAAATACAAAGGATCCAGCTTCACAAGGGTATGAAACATTTTAGTTTTAGAATTATTTTATTTACGTGAAAGTCTATGTGATGAGTGATGAAAACAGAGAGAACTCATATTAAATCTCCATTCTTGTTGAATAATATTTTTATCTAGTGTCTGCAAAAAATTACTGGAACACAGAAACATCACAATGTATTCAGGAAATATCACTCTGTTACATTCTTCCTAGAAGACCTGCACTCACTATTTGTTCTTCTGAGTCATACTTGTTACTAGTCTTCTCATATTGTCATATAAACTGTGCATTTATCTATGTTTCAATTTCTAATTGCATAGCTTTAAAAGATTTAGTAGAAGTGTTCAAATCAAGAACTCTAACTTGCAATGTCTTAATCGTTGCAATTTAAGACAATTTTAACTGTCTCTATTATCTAATGTACCTTGAATCTAGAAGACATACGCCTTTTCATCTAATTGTATTTGCTTTTAATATTCCTTGATTCACTAAGAACTATATGTCTTGGTTCACATTTCTTACTAACCGAGAATTTCTATACCAGAAAAAGCTGAATCACAGTCTCAAGAAATTGTACATGCACAGAGATGATTAACTTACTAACATTTTACACATGTGAAATGTATTTATAATTTTAGAATTCCCAATATGCATTTCTACTGAAATACATAGAAAGTCCTAAGTTTTGTGAAGTTGCATTTTAGCAATTTTCAGCAGACAATAAACACAGCAACTACATTTTAAAAATTCACAGTACTGAGTTCTGTTTTCTATGTTTTGTTGTTATTGTTTTTGATGGAGTATTCAGTGAGAAATTACTTCTGGGGAAAGTTATTATTTCTCACAAGTTTTTCTTCTTGAGAATTATGTTTTATTAAGTAGCAGTGCAAATATTTATTTTTCTGCAGTCCTCCAGTTATTTTTTGTTATAAACTGTTATAATATATAGGAAATTTGACTAGAGAACCACAGATCTGCTTTGTCTCTTAAAATGTTTATTTATTCCAATAATGTAATAGTACAGTTCTTCAAAGGCTGTCATAAGTCCATCATTCTGCAATTTGAGTATATCCTGATGTTGTAGGTATGGAGAATGTCAAGAACGTATTATTGTAATAATAATGTAATAATAGTATAATATAATAATAGTAATAATATGATAATAAATAATAGTAATAATATTATAATAACAGTTATAGTATTATGATAATATATTATTGCAATAATATAGTATTATATTATTATAATATTATTAGTATATTATTGTAATAATATAGGGGAATCAGTTGTACAGCGGACCTGGGGGATGGCAATCCCAGTGCCTATGGAGCTGTATCAATAATCAATCAATCAATCAATCAATTAATATTCCAAAGCAAGAAAAATCATTAGAACATTTTTAATACAAAGGGCATGTAATACATTGCAGAAATGCATAATAAATATTTAGTAAAATGGGAAAAATATTATTGGAGAAAGAAAAGTGAACACTCATCTTCTGGTTCATTTTTCAAATGCCCAGATGCCCAGCTCTGAATAAGGTAGAAGCTGGAAATTCAATGCAGATCTCTATGTCTCACTTTTTGATGAATTGTCTTGATTTGAAATTTTAGTTGAATCTCCAATTGGACATACCTGCTAATTCTAGCTATTGCAGAATGTCCATAAATAGAAAATGGCCTCCGATAGATGCCAAAGGATGATCCAAATGAATCTCTTTAGCTTTAGACCATATTCAGATACTCTTTTACAAACCTAAATAAGGCCATTTTTCTAAGAAGGGTTTTGGGTGCAACATTTTTTTTTTAAGATTTATTTTATTTTTATTGGAAAGGCGGATATACAGAGAGGAGAGACAGAGAGGAAGATCTTCCGTCCAATGATTCACTCCCCAAGTGAGCACAACGGCCGATGCTATGCCAATTCGAAGCCAGGAGCCTCTTCCGGGTCTCCCACGAGGGTGCAGGGTTCCAAAGCTTTGGGCCGTCCTCGACTGATTTCCCGGGCCACAGGCAGGGAGCTGGAAGGGAAGCGGGGCTGCCGGGATAGAACCTGTGCCCATATGGGATCCCGGGCGTGCAAGGCGAGGACCTTAACCACTTGCGCCACTGCGCCGGGCCCGGTGCAACTTATTATTACACACATTTCTCTGTCCTTGGGAACACCGAAAAGTAGAACACACACTCTCATAGGATGCCTATTTCACAAGAAGGGTAGTTCCACAGCAGCATTTCACAAATCAGGTAATAGATTTCAGATTTTAATAAAAACTCATGGAAATAAAAAGGCTTTCATTGTTGTTTTGTTTTCCAGATGAGATTTTGAAAACCAAAAATTCTATTGGGTGATTCATTTTTTTTTTCATAAAATTTGGAATCTGGCTATAAAAACTTGAATAACCTGAATACAGAAGTTAGTATGCCAGGATACTACCTCCCTACTGTTTTTACAGATTACCGTATTTGACTTGGAGAATTCAGAACCTGAAATACCCTACTTGGTCCAAGTTCTGACATGCTGGAATACCAACCAGCCAAGTGAGTGAAGTAGGAGGGCTTGGACTAGAGTAGAAATACCCCAAGAAATCCCAAAGAGTATGGAAGAGACACAGGAAAAAACTGAAGCAGAGCCTTTCATGAGTAATGAAATGATTTATGCATAGGAGCGAAGTGTCGGGTATTGGATGGAATGTGAGTTTGCAGAGCTGGAATTTTTTATTTGCTAAGAACCTGAAATGGACTGAAGTTCCCAAGAGTGTAGTGCACCTGAAATCAAAAGAAATCAATGCCTTGGTTACCATCATCCAGAGAAGGAGCTAAAACGACAAAACATGGATGTTCAAAGAGCATTTCATTTGTTCTGCCTGTGAAACAAATTACTATATCCAGATAGCTCATGAGTTTATTAACACCTTCATTGGAATATTTTTTCTGTTGCTTCAACAGCTGTGCTCCCAAAATGCCTTGTATTTTCTTTAGTCTCATAGTTTTTCTTACTACAACTGATTTTATGAAAAATACTAGCTTTAGTCTGCATAAATCCTTGTGTTGTTTTGGTTAGTCTGATCCAATCAAGCATGCTTTCTTTGTTGGCACTGCATATTACAACAGCCGGCAACTCCTTATCCCCAAATTTGTTTTTTGTCCATTTGTTTGTGTGGAATACCAGATTCTGAATACACACAGAAATGAGGAGCAGGATGAATGAGCTATCACAGTGTTTCTTTTCCTTAACAAGTAATAGACTCACGTTTCTGTGGTTTTTGTGAATAGATTGTCAGAAGAACAAGAGTCTTTCTAACTTTGTTTTAGAACTGTGCTGTTTTTAAATCAGGTGACATCAGCTTTAATGCTTTTATTGTATAGTTCAGTGAGCAATTAGGAATAAATACATTTAAGATAACCAGCTAGATAACTTATAAATGAGATTATTACTCCATCTTTTTTATACTGGCAAATGGTATCTATAATTTTTGCTAAAATATGTAATTAATCTTTAAGATTATAATATCAATTAATTCATTAATGTAACTTAAAGTATCTCTCAGATATGAGAACTCCTCTAGTAACAAAGGCCTTTGCGGTAATGTAAAGCAATGGTTTGAACTCAATTTCATAGAACTATTTCTTACAAAAGCTGAATATTTATATTGTATTTATAACTTCAAAGCATATTTCACTGTAGTATGTAAAAATTTAAATCAAGAATATAAATTATGTGAGACTAAAGCCTAGTAGCTCCAATATGCACTACTAAGGATTTAAGGCATAGTTCCATATGATTTATTATTTTGTCCATAATGACTGCTTATTAAAAATCATGGTAATAAATACCATGAATAAAATTGATAAATCATGCTAAAATGTTAAGGGAGCTGAATCAAACAATCTATCACATGTTAAATTTTAAGTTGGCTTACAAGGAAAACTCAAACTTTGAAAAGAAAGTCATTTTTACTCTCTATTACTTAAAACCGAATCGTTAAAATCCACTTAGTTTACTAGTAGCGAAGCAAATAATTTCGAAAATTGAGTTTTTATTAAATTAGAGCTAACTATTACATTGTCAGTGATGGAAATGAAATGACTTTGTTGATGAATCATGCTATTCAGAAAGTAATTTAGAATGAATAAATAGCATTAACAAAACTTTGTCAAATAGTTTGGTCAAATCAGAGTTATGAAACACATGCAGCTAAGGTTTCTCTGCATTTTGCCAAATGATAGTTTTCGTTGTTTTATTGTGCAAATTTGAAATACAATCACTAACTATAAGTTACATTACAAAGATCTTTCAAAATGTACTTGGAAAATGTGTATAGTGCTCTAGAATGTTTCTTCAGTTGGTTACAACAAAAATCAGTCTCCTATTTTTTTTTTTTCTGAAAACTTGTTGATACATTCTCCTATCACCAACAATGTAACAACACTATAAGCATGAAATTAAAACATTCTTTTACATATATTTCCAGATATAGATGAGTGCAGTGAAGCAAGTGTGTGTGGTGATCACGCAGTATGTGAAAACGTGGATGGTGGGTACCACTGCTCCTGCAAGGAAGGTTATCAGTCATCCACAGGAACAGACCGGTTTACACCTGCTGATGGCACTTACTGCCAAGGTATCTTATTCTTAGGTTTATATATTTTCAAAGAACTGTATAAACTGTGCACTGCAGTTATGAAATACTAAATAGCTACTTAAAAAAAAAAACAGTGCCTGTGTTATTTGATGATCTCTAAAATCAACCAAAAAAACCCACACATATCACTTCATGTAATGAGCAATATAGACAACATGTTTTATGAGTTTAGTGTACCATATTACTAAAATTTTCGTTCATTTACTGTAAAATATTAGATTTTCTAAAAATAAAAAAGAACTACATTGTTGAATTATGCACTTATAATATTTAAATGGTCAGTAAAAATGTAATAACTCTAAACAACTTAAAATATTTTAAAATATTGTATAATTTATTTTATTTTTCTGCAGAATATGTGGATATAAACTGTCATTTGGATAATGCATGTGTTGCTGAATATATTAACAAAGCTTTAGCAAAAGTAAGTAGATTAGCTGAGGTATTATTTTGCTTTATTTTGACATTTTGATCTCTGTTAAAATATTTCCTTTAAAGTCAGACTTCAAGAAAAGTAACTAATATTTGCAATTGAAATAGAGTTGAAACTTTTCCTACAGAAATCTAAGTGCTACGTTTGCATCATATTTTTCAAAATATTGAAATGGACTCTTGCATATTTAATTTCTGTTGGTTGCTCTTTCATTATTGCTTACAGTGGAAAATATTTTCCAATATATGAAGAGTAAATGAAAAATATAGTAAATATGTACTTTCATTCTAGAACCATTTTAAGGAGACATAGTTGAATTCAACTACATTTTGTACTTCAAAGTGAACATTTCTAAAAGCTAAAAAACTACTCAATAAATCAATTTTTGTGTTATTGTAAGAGTGAATCTCAACATAAGAAATCAACTATTAGCTAAAACAAATTTCCATTTAATCACATTGTAAAGAACTTTTTCCAGTTGATTAAAATCTAATTCCAGTTAAGCCACAGTTTTCTGCTTAGGATAGTAATATAAATATCATGGAATTTAAATATTGAGAAAAGCTCATTGACAAGAATATGATTCTATAATAAAGGGAAGGGAGTTACTTTGAAAGCTTTTCTAAAAATTACTGATTTTTTTGCCCTGTTTTTCCTGAAGTAACCTCTATGCTTTTAAAGTTATTTGCTAACCCATTGTATAAACGCTGGCTTCTGTGCTGCATATTGTGGTTCAGGTTTAGTTTGGCAATTTATTTCTGTGTAGATCAAAAGCAACCTCAGAATAAATTTAGTATATAAGGTTTATTCTTGAAAACTCCCAGTAGAATTCTAAGTGTCTTTTATTTGGACTGTTTTTTTCTCAGATTAGACCTATAGGCAAACCTTTGGCTTTGCTACAAAAACTCCATAGAAATTCTGGGAGGAATCTTTCACCAATAGATATAATTGCATATACAGAAATACTAGCTGAAGCATCAATAATACTAACTCACTTGAATAAAACTATGTCAGCCAAGGACACTCCTTCTAATTCAACTCTAACTGTAAGTATATGGAACTTTTTCATGCCAATAAGATTTGAATTTTTCTTTACATCAGTAATTAGAGTGAAATTTCAGTATTCATGGAGACACAATTTTTTTTTCAATAGGAATTTGTAAAAACGGTGAATAATTTTGTTCAAAGGGATACATTCACAGTTTGGGATAAATTATCTATGAATCAAAGGAGAACTCATCTTACGAAACTGATGAATGCTGTTGAACAAATTACCTTAAGATTATCTCAGAACTTCGAAAAGACCACTCAATTTGATACAAACTCAAGTGACATAGGTAAGGAACAAAGGCACATTTCAAAGCAATACTGTTTTTCAAGCGAATAATTTCTAAAACAAATATATTTAAATACTGCTAGTTAATTTTTTTTTAGTTTTATCAGCAAAGAAATGAGTCATGATATACACAAGAGTAATATTAATGAAGTGCTTGTAAAAAAAGATATTTGCTTGACCCCTTGCCTGTCCTGCATAGCATTTCTCATTTCTGAGTGAATACTTGCTTGACATTTTGAGTCAGGTATCTTAGGACTTGTCAGAATCTTAAAATTTGACCCATGACAATCAAAACAGAGCATCTGGATATAGTATTATCAAATTTGTGTTTAAGAAGCCTTTGTCTTCTGATGATTTTAAATAAACAATCTAATGAATTATATTTCCTATCTTATGCACGTCATTCTTTATTCAAAATCATGTCTCAAGCTGAGGATGCGTATAAAGTTATCATGAAAAAGCAAAGTCAATTGTCTGAAATATTCATCACTGATATCTTTTTTAATATTTGCTTAATGGTTGAGTAATTCATTCTTTTGAAGAACAGAGTGGGGGGGTAGATTTGCCAACCTCTCACTCCTCAAATTGCTGCAACAACCCCTGGTAGGATAGGCAGACCAACATCAGGAGCCATTTGACTTTTCCTCATGGGTGATTGATGTCCTGCTACTTTTGGCTATCTTTCACTGGCTTCCCACATATATTGGAGAAAGCTGGATCAGAATCTGAGCAGCCAAACTCAAATGGATATGCAGATAAGAGATGTAAGCATTTAAACTGGAAGCCCTATCATTGTACATACGTCTTTAGTACACTATTTGGATAACACGTGCTAATCAACACTAATTAAAAAATGTTTTTATCAGGAGACATCACATACTCAAAATTAAGGTTGTAAGCAATATGATTAATAAAAATATCATATTCTTCTATGATATTGCTGGATGTAAAAGTTGACAAAAACTTGAAATAAGAAATTATCACTTATAAGTTGAATCTTTTTATGTTATATGTACTCTGTGTATATAAATGTACATATTTTGTTAAAACTCAAGATATTATATTTATTTGCCTTAGTAGTTATGTTTTGCAGCTCTGTTCAGTACACATATAACTTTTATTTTTACAAACGGTAAATTAATTTCAACCTTGAATAGCATGCTGAAATAAAAAATTAGCATATGAATCATATTTTAAGGTGTGGATGATACTGCCCAGGCATTTTTACAATGTTTATCTTATTTGCTAAACATAAGAAGATGAAATACAATTATGAAAGATGGAATAGTCTCCCAGTGAATGCCTACGTTGATTATGCATATTAAGCTAATTCTAGTGAATTTGTGATTCTTATTTTTTCAGCTCTTAAAGCTTTCTTTCTTGATTCCTATCACATGAAACATACCCATCCCTATATGAATGTGAGTGGAGATTATATAAAGATAATTCCAAGCAGAAAACCTGCCCTTGACTCAAATGGTAAGACATCAACTGTTTCTAACTATCTATGTGCTCTCTTAGTGTGACGCATTTACACAAATCTCCAGCACTAGTAGAAACTGTGTTGTTGCAGCTTCCATATAGATAAAAATATATGTTATTATGGGCAATCAAGAATTGCAGTGCTTCTCAAAGAATGTGAGAAGGGTCACAATCGTAAACAAAAACGAATACAGCACACACGAGTATAGTCATTTTGACACTATTTTATAAAAACTTGTGATTCCTTCATTGCTCAAAAAAAGATGTGCATACACCTTTTGTTTTGTTTTTACTTATGTGGGAATTTTTTCTTAATCCATTTGTATTATCCTCTCCAATTTTCTTGTTATTTTTTATCAAAAAATCAAGAAACAGTCACAGAACAAAGAAAAATTTAACTAAATCATACTCCCATTGATTTGTTGGCTCTTACTTTAATGCACCATGTTCCAATTGGTAAACATATATAGAATACGTTGGACCAAATTTTTTTTAAGTTTTATTTATCTTTATTGGAAAGTCAGATATGCAGAAAGGAAGAGAGACAGAGAGGAACAGCTGTCCATTGATTTACTTCCCAAACGGCCACAACAACCAGAGCTGTACCGATCTGAACCCAGGAGCCATGAGCCTCTTCAGGGTCTCCCAGGCAGGTGCAGAGTTCCAAGGCTTTGGGCCATCCTTGACTTCGATCCCAGATCACAAACAGGGAACTGAATAGGAAGTAGGGCTGCCAGGATTAGAACCGGAGCCCTAATGGAATCCCTGTGCATTCAAGGAGAGGACTTTTACCACTAGGCTAATGCACAGGGCTCTGGACCAAATTTTAAGAAGGTATTAGATTATCAGAGAGTCATAGACTGTTTGTTTTAAAGTTGGAAGAAGATATTTAGAAAGCTAGCAGAGTGAAAGATGATGGACTAATCATGGAAATGAGAGCTTAAAAAAAAACGGTTCTAATCCTGGCAGCCCTACTTCCTATTCAGTTCCCTGTTTGTGATCTGGGATCGAAGTCAAGGATGGCCCAAAGCCTTGGAACTCTGCACCTGCAGCAGAGGACGGCCCAAAGCTTTGGGAACCTGCACCCGCGTGGGAGACCCGGAAGAGGCTCCTGGCTTCGGATCGGCATAGTGTCGACCCGTTGTGCTCACTTGGGGAGTGAATCACCGGACGGAAGATCTTCCTCTCTGTCTCTCCTCTCTGTATATCCACTTTTCCAATAAAAACATAATAATAAATCTTTAAAAAAAAAAAACAAAAAAAAACCCTGATTGTAGGTTAATGTTTTATATTTAAAGATAATATATACAAACTGATATTTCAAATGGATGTTGATATCTGGTCTCTGATAAAACCTGTTTTATTCAAGTTTATTTCTTTTCTATTCTTTTAAAAAAATACATTTGTTTATTATGATGCAGCTTTGTACACATAGAAGTTCTTCCCTTCTCCTTTCCTTACTCCCTTTGTTTTGCTTTTCCACTATTATTCCATGAATTATCACAAGTTGTATTATTATTGTATTCTTAATAATAGTTGTGAGATTCACTTTATGGTTTTTACAAGTATTATGACTTGGTAAATACAGGTAAAGGAAAAAATTCTAGTATCAAACTGAACTGATATACTCACCTGTTTCAGAATGGGAGATCTATTTTTATTTTGGAGTAGAGGACACATACTACAATAAAATTTACTTCCCGTAAGCTAGTCTCCATTATATGGCTCACCTGTGAGAATATATGTTTATAGATTACCTATATCTATTTATTTTCTAATTTGCCTAAGCTCATTATAATTCTAAATCAGATCCAAATAATTGATGGATTGAATGTTGCATGTAAATTTTCCTAACCTATAGCCTTTGATCATTTTCTCCCCATTTTGTTCCATTCACATATTTAAACATGAAAGTAAGGACTCAAAATTCTGTCTTACCATCATGATTTGGTGGCAAATTTATTGAAGATTATTGTTTTCCCCTGATACAGTTTGTGCAAATAGAATGCACAGCTTGTGATTATGTTCACATTTGCCGTAGTCAGGGATTTTAGGTATTCGTAGGTTGGATGAAGGTTACTGTGGGCACAGTCTGGCTCCTGTGACTTTTGCAGAGTGTTTTGTCTGGTTTTTTTTCTTCGCTTTTATTTTATGAGCTTAAATGCTTTTTGGCTTATAAAATCTCACTAGACATTTCATTTGATCATTAGGCAATGTTGCAGTTGTATTTTTATATTACAAGAACATTGGTCACTTGCTTTCACCATCTGAAAATTACTTGTCGGATCCACAAACTGATGACATTTCTGAAAAAGAGCAAACAGTTATATCTTCAATAATTTCAGCCTCAATTAGCTCAAATCCACCCACATTTTTTGAACTTGACAAAGTAACCTTTACATTAAGTCACAACAAGGTAAGTAGGTTTTTCCTAACAGTTGTTGTTTATTATTGTCACACATTCAGATAACTGAACTATTTTTATTGTATCTCTAGTTACATGAAACTCTGGCTTCATATCAGACCTATGGTTATAATGAATATTCAAAAAATAAAATAAAGGAATAAAGAGATTTTAGCTAAATTTATTATAAAATGTTTTTGCAATTTCAATGTTCTTTAGACATTCTAATGAATACTTAGGAACCTATATATTGGATTAAATGAAATTAAAGTGCATTTCAATTTTATTTTCACACACTATGTTCATTTGACTTTTTAATTTTTATTTTTCATGATATTGTTCTATAGCAACAGGATTCTCCCTTCCTGTAAGTCCATCATCCTATTGTCAAGATTTATTTATCCTATTGTCAGTTTCATTAAGAGTCCTTTTTTTGTTTGGGACTGGAGATGCATACTGCAATGCATCCTTACTTCCCTGTGCGGAATTATACAGTTCATCTATGAGAATATATGTATGTGCTTACCTATATATCTAATTGTTCTGTATTGGGCATGAAGGTTACCATATAAACATGGTATATATATGGTATCTATGCCATATTTTTTTCACATATATATGTGAAAATACATCAATGAAAATACATGATTTGTACATGTGGGATTGGGCTATTTCTCTGGGCATACTGGCCTCTAGTTGGGACCATTTGGCTGTATATGGTAGAATTTCATTCCTTTTAATGGCAGAGTAGTATTCCATGGAATAGATGTACCTCAGTTTCCTTATCTAGTACTATATTTGCAAATATAGGATTACAGATCAATTTCTTATATGTAGATTTCATTTGTTTTGAATATATTTTCAAGAGCGGGATAGCTAGGGCATATAATAGATTAATCTAACCTCTACATTAGCAGGTGTTGTTAGTAGATTTCTGAATGTAGGCCAATCTCACTGGAGTTATGTGGATCCTCAGTGTGGTTTTTGCTAGTACTTTCTTGATAACTATGAAACCTGAGCATTTTTTGCATGTCTATCAGCCAATTTGGAAGTCTCCATATCCTAAAGTGATAAAGTGTTACAGTCAAAGAAAATACATGTCATTTGTGCTTGGTTAATGCTTGTCATTTAAAACCTTCAAGCTGGTCAATTGTATCTCCTTGTTTACAGTGATTTCTATTGACTTTCTAAGTGAGAAAGCATGTATACTCATTGTAACACAAATATGTTATTGTTAAAGGAAGATATCTACTATAGAAAATACCAATTCTGCAGACAATCTAAGTAAATGTTTCCTTAGTGTTTTATTGAGGAGAAACATAAACCGTGAATGGAGTTAGCACTGGAAATAAAACAGGTTTATTTTGTTGAATGTAATTCTTTTTAACTCTAAAAACCATTTGTATTATTATGGTTTCTAACAGGTTTGGTTTTTTAATTATCAGTGAAATTTTCTCACTACAGAAGGTTCCAAGAACAATACACTTCACTAATTTCTAATAGATAAATAAGTAAAACAAAAGAAAAAATCAGAAAAAAAGGCTTTCAAATAATGAGAAGATTTACTTGTTCTTAATCAGTTGTCCTGTTCAACTTTATTCTCATTTAACGTAATAACCATTGTACAATTAAATCACCTCCTCTGGACACATCTCTTGTTTTGCTTTTTCTAAGAATTAAATCTATCATTTTTTTCCAAGAAAATAGAAGCCATTTCATATATAACACTTTCAATGTCTGACCATTTTCCTAGCTTGATTGATAAATGCATATGAAGGTACTTCAAAAGCTTTTTGGAAGGAAGAATGAAATCTAAAGATATGTTTATTTTGGTGTAAAAATGTTCAAAGTCTCTACAAAGTTTTTTCATAATATGCATTCACAATGCACTTCTTCAATATCTCTCTAGGTTGGATTTCAGAACTTTATGCATAGTGATATTTTAGTTTCATTTTCCATTCAGTTATTGAAGTACTTTATTATTCCTACACTACCTCAGAGGTGCAATAATACTAATTATAAATATGACGATAATGAGAATGAGAACAGTCAGGATTTAGATAGCGCTTGTGTTTACCAGACAATTCTAATTTATATAGCTGTGTGCCTTTACATTCTCATTTAATCTTCACAAAGTCATATGAGGAATGTGCTCATATCAGTTCCAGTACTCCACAGATGAAGAAAGGGAGATTCTGAGACAATCTTGACCATCAATTTGTGCAAATTTTGAATCCCAAGCAGTCTTCCTGCAGAATCTTGCTTTAAAAGTCTTATACTCCCACTTCATCTTATTTTCTGAAGTTTTCCCATGACATCCTTCCAAGAAATGAGGCTTTGTCAGCAGTCACATCATTCCTGGAGCTGTATTCGTGCTGGTAACCCTGTTAATAAACATGCTCTATTTCTGCGATACTTAAAACATTTTTTCTTCTTTGTCCTGGTTTATCCTTGAACCAAAACCCAATAGTTCCTCTTGCTTTAGAACTTTTACAAAGTAGATATTAATTACCGAGATTCACCTGTGATCGTTTGGATTTAATTTCATCCCAACCACCTTGGCCTACTTTAAAGACATTCTTCCAAAACCTCTGTCCAGGGTTCTATTCTGATTTTTTTTTTGTTTTGTTTTGTTTTTCATTCCTTTGTTATTTGCTAAACTGCATCCTAAACGGAAGGTCTCCTTTTTTTGGTCTGGTTAAAAGCTACCAACCTGGTCATTGCCTTTCATTATTGTCCGTGACAGAATACTTGCTTGTTTATCAGATTCCACATTTCCTCTAGCCACTGTCTTCCTCTTCCCTGTTTTATTTTGGTAGCCTGTTCTCCAGTGGCTGATTCAGAAAGGAGTATGGAAACTTAAGCCTTTGAATCATCAGATGGTATAGGACTTAACCTCTTTTTTAAAAAAGATTTATTTATTTTTATTGGAAAGCCAGATATGCAGAAAGGAGGAAAGACAGAGAGGAAGAGCTTCTGTCTGATGATTCAATCACCAAGTGAACGCAACGGCTAGAGTTGAGCCAATCCGAAGCCAGGAGCCTCTTCCGGGTCTCCCACGTGGGTTCAGGGTCCCAAGGCTTTGGGCCGTCCTCCACTGCTTTCCTGGGCCACAGGCAGGGAATTGGATGGGAAGTGGAGCTGCCGGGATTAGAACTGGCACCCATTTGGGATCCCAGGCGTGTAAGGTGAGGTCTTTAACCACTACCCTATTGTGCCAGGCCCGGACTTAACCTTTTAATTGTATATGTAAGATTCAAATAGTACGTGGGGAATATGTACTTTTATTCAGAATTTTCTAGGTCTCACACATATATCTTCTGTTTTTCAAGGTTAAGGTAGAAAAGATTCAGGAAATTAATATTTTAATTAAAAAATAGTCTTTTGCTTATAATCAAACTCTTTCCCTATTTTTCTCTCTCTTAAAGTTTTGAAATCTCATATTTATTTTTGCATTTTCAAAATCTTTAACATAGATTTTAATGTGTCTTGCTTCGACTGCAGAAAGCATTTTGTTAGTCTGCTGAGTGTAATATTATATGGTCTTTAGGGAATTTTCTTATATTATTTCTTTTTTTCACTTTTTAAAAAGATTTATTTATTTTTATTTGAAAGGTGGAGTTACAGAGAGAGAGGAAAGAGAGAGAATCTTCCATCCACAGATTCACTCCTCAAAATAGCTACAAGGAGCTGGGCTGATCTGAAGGTTTGGAAACCAGGAACTTATTTCAGGTCTCCCATGTGGGTACAGAGACCCAAGGAGTTAGTTCCTCCTCTGCTGCCTTCCTAGGCCATTAGTAGAAAGCAGGATCAGAGGTGGAGATGCCAGGACTAGAACTGGTGCCCATACAGGATGCTGGAGCCACAGTGGAGCCTGCCATGCCATGGCACTGGCTCAGGGTGTGTAATTTAAAAATCAAAGTAAACTTTATATATATATATATATTCTTTTTTCTTCTTTTAATATTACATATTATGATATCTATCTCCATGTATTATTTGTACTTCTTTATAATTCTAAATTTATGTTGAATATTATTAAGTTATACCTAATAGGAGTGATTCAAAATTTAGTAGCATAATGTTCTAATACTCTTTGAAATTCAGGTTTAATTGTAGAACTTCAATTAGTCCTAGAAAAGTATATATTTAAATTTTATTTCTTTTTATTATTATTGTTTTATGATCCAGTTCCATAGGCCCTGGGATTTCCCTTATCCCCTCCCCAATTTCCTCCCCCCTCACTGAGTTCCCCTATATCACTACTATAGTTTAGTTCTTCATACACAGTCATATTTACATCATTGCAGGCATGGACAATGGCAGAGAGTCCAGGATCCTATTATCAAGATATAGTGAGCAGTTTCATTGAGAGTCTATCTTTGCCTAAAAGTAGAGATGTATGCTTCATTTATCCTCACATTTAGATATGATAGTCTCCATTACACAGCTACTGTACATCGCCTCAAATGAAAAGTCATACTACAAAATCAACAATAGAAGGAAAAGTAGAAATTTACAATGCCATGAAGTAATACATCCCATTAAATGAAAAGCCACAAAACAAATTCAACTACAGGAAGAAAAATAGAAATTAACAGCACCATGAAGTTAAATAGCATGCTGCTGAATGATTAATTTCTCACTGAAGAAATGAAAAGAATATCAAGAACCTTGTTGAAGAAAGTGATGCTACTGTATGTTCTATGAGTCGTTGAAGAATTTAATCAGAAGAAAATGTTTTTCAGAGATGAACCTAAAACCAACAACAAAAATCAAAATTCATGAGATATAGTTTCCACTCATATTTTTTGGTGAAATGTGTCTCCTGTAGGCAACAAAAATAGATGGGTTTTGTTTTTTAATCCAGTCTACAAATCTGTGACATTTGAGAGATGAGTTTAAGCCATTTACATTCAGGCTTAATATGAATGGGTCGTAATTTGGTCCTGTCATTTTAGCAATGGGTTGTTCATTGATTTAGCCTTCTGTTGTTCTTTTACTGGGATGTTGTTCACAGTTGCCTTTGGTTTTTGGTGGGTGCTATTCCTCTTCTCTGTCAAGAGAACATCTTAAAGTATCCTTTGTAGGGCAGGTTTGGAAGAGGCATATTCTTTTAACTTTTCTCTACTGTGGGGGAATTTTATTTCATTTTCAAAGACAAAGGAAAGTTTTGCTGGGTACATTATCCTGGACTGACAATTTTCTGCTTTTAGAATCTGGAATATGTCTTTCCATCCTGTTCTGGCCTGTAGAGTTTCCTGTGAAGAGGTCTCTTCTGAGTTTAATTAGCATTCTTTTATATGTCAATTCATTTTTATCACATGCACATTTAAGGACCTTCTCCTGATGTTAGATTGCAAAGAGTATTTAGTTAAGTAAATTCTTATATAAGTTAGAGCTATTTCTATAAAATGATATTCACGCTAATAAATTATTCTTGAAACTTGAGAAAGTGACCGGTATTGTGGAACGGCAGCTTAATCAGTTTCCAAATGGGCTCCAGAATGAGTCACAGCTGCTTCACTTCCAATCCTGCTCCCTGATACTATGCCTGGGAAAGCAGTGCAAGCTGATCCAAGTGCTTGGGCATCTACATCCACCTGAGAAGCCCAAGACATCCTGGTGTCCTCATTTCAGCCTAGTACAGCCCTAGCCATGACAGTTATTTGAGAAATGAGCCAACAGATAGAATATTTCTCTCTCCATAATTGTTTCTCTTCCTCTTTATATCTGTACTTTTAAAACAATACAGTACAAAACAAACCCTTATACATTTAGTATAATTGCTTAGCATAGCAAATATTATAAATAGAATCCCAATATTTATTGAGGACTAATCTTTTATATGTGATCAAGATTATTTATGGTATTTTACTTCAGTCATCGTGTTTCTACATAAAAAGCATTTTGAAGTTTCTGGAATACTTTTGTTCAATCTTACTAGTTCTTCCACTTTTTCCAACTGTCTGGAACCCTGAGTTACAAACTTTCAGGACTTACTCCTATGTCAGTGATATATCGGCTTGGATATCTTCTAGCCAGGTCACCATCCATTACCACTTTCTTCTTTCTTGTGTTTTATTTTTCTCATTAATGAATTTTTTTGTTTCTAAACAGTTTGTGGCTCAATAATACAAGCACTTCTCTGTCTTGTTTAGCTTTTTTGATCTTAGAACATTTATCAGTGATTAATATGTAGTAAATATTCAGCAAATATTTATTGAATATAAATACATAGGAAAATCTTGTCATGCACTGTTGAAGGTGACATTTGCAAGACCCTCTTTAAAAATATATGACTTTAACCCATTTTGTTTATATCATTTGAGCATATTTCACACATTTCACAATAGATATTTAGAAGCACAGTGAAGCTTGCCACCCTATCCTCCCTTCTGCCCACATACCCTACTTACATTCTTCATTCTTTTTTTTTTTAATTTTTACAATGGCTTTTTTGATTTCATTTTGCAATCACAGTGTTAACATTCCACTGGGAGCATATTTCAAAAAGCAGCACGTAGAGAACAAATCCTCTGTTCAGCAAGGGTATAGACTAAGGTTGTGATCAAGTCTTAAGGTATCAATCTTGTTCATATAGTTTGCACTTATAGAACTCTGTATTTGTTACCACAGATCTAGGAAACGTGATATTTGTGGGTTTTTTTGAACTGGTTTATTTCACCAAGCAAAATGGTGTCTATTTGCATTCATTTTTTATAAAAGACAGAATTTCTTTTTTTTTTTATATCTGAGTAATATTCTACAGGATATATATGCCACATTTTCTTAATCGTATCATCCATTGATTGATGATTCCATGGACTGATTCCATATCTCAGCTATTTTGAATTGAGCTAAGGTAAACGTGGAAATGAAAATGTCTCTCTCATCTGCTGATTTGATTTGGGTAAATTTTCAAAAGTGAGATGGCTGGATCATATGGCAATGTTGGCAACGCCCGCGTCGCCACGTACCCCGAGCTCCAAGTCGAGCGGAGGGACTAGGGTTATGAGACAGACAAGACAGACAACACACACAGTGGGTCATTCGTGTGAGGAGAATGCCGAATGCCATTTATTTGAAGTCAAGCTGCATCTTTTATAGTCTGCTTGGCCCCTCCTAGGATCCTCCCAATGGTTAAGCCACACCTAAGCTCCCCCAAGGACATGCAACAAGGGGAAACAAGAAGGAAGGAGATTGCAGTCAAGCCACAGGCTAAATGTATCAGGCCATGATTGCCTTTCCTGTTACACCCTTGAGAAACAAGCTGTGCTGTGGAGTTAATCCTTGGGAGACTGGGGCCTACATGGCAAATTTTGCTTTAAATCTCCAAGGAATCTCCAAGCATTTCTCCATATTGTTTGACCAGTTCACATCCCCACTCAGAGTGGATTAAAGTACCTTTCTCCCCACATCCTTGCCCGAATTTATTCAATTGTTCGCAATTATTTTGAGTGAGTCTGATCTTAGAAATTCTTGTCAGTAACAGTTATTTGAATATAGAAAGACTATTGATTTTTTGGGTTAATTCTATATTCTGTTACTTCACCAAACACTCTTGTGAATCCCATATATTAAATCATGTCATCTGCAAACAGGATAGATTGACTTCTTCCATGAACTCTTAATAGTAAAATTAGCACATGCTTTATGACCAAGGGTTGATGAAATACAGCATTCTGGTGACATAAATTCTAACTCTTCCACATAACAATAGCCTTTATTTATAATTTATTTTGTGCTCAGTTTTCAAATGTGGCCTAATGACTAATATGCTTTGAATATATCAAAAGCAATATCACCTGGGTAATTATTTCTGCTTTTCCCCCATCAGTAAAGTTTCTCTTTTTCAGGTCACAGATGAGTATCGGAGTCTGTGTGCATTTTGGAACTATTCGCCTGGAAATATGAACGGAAGCTGGTCCTTGGAGGGCTGTGAGGTCACATTCTCCAATGAGACCCACACCTCATGCCGCTGTGATCACCTGACACATTTTGCAATCTTGATGTCTTCCGGTCCTTCCATTGTAAGATAATTTTCAACCTCATGTTTATCAATCCTCCTAGATTGATCATTGTTGTTTTCTTGACATGTGATATAAATTGGTTGTAAATATCACATTCTTATAATTGATGAAACCTTGTTATATTCCTTTTAGCCTTTGTCTTCCTCCTTGTTTTACACCTGAGGGTGGCAGGTGGTATGGATTTTCAGTTTTTTCTAGGCTAAGACATATCAAATCTGCAATACTGACCCGGTTACCTTTTAAATGAAATGTCCATTTATTATCTCGTAGCTTGTAATGCTGTTTTCAAGAATGAATTACACATTTTTTTATACCATGGAAGTTAGGGTCTATCAAAAATTGACTTTTTTCAATAACAAAATGTCTAAAATTGTCTGAGAACCTGGTCTGCAAGTTGTGATTCTTACAAGTAAAACTTGATGTATATTAAGGCAGGACTTCAAAAGGTTTTCCAGGTTCTTAGTTAAATAGCTTCATAATATGTGATTTTTGTTAGTAATAACTTATTTTCATTACAAAATTTCGTGTTATATTTTCATACAGATAAGATGCTATTAAGATATATTTCTAACACCTTTATTTGATATTTTGGATTAATCACAACATTGACTTGATCTTTTCAGTGACAAATCTGTTTTAATTAATCATTTTCACATTTGCCTTTTTAATGTCATGAAACTATTAATAACATTTTGGAACTATTTACTAATAAATACAATGCCCAGGAAAGGAATCAATAATCATTGAACTGTTAAAATGTTCCATTATTTAAAATCAGCTTAGCATCAGCTTTTTCTGGTATTTAAAATATTTAAAAGCACATTTTTTCATATCTAGATGAACATTTGTAGTTTTACATTTTATGAACTTTGAACAAGGTTTCCCAAGAAAGTCCAATAAATATTATAATTTCTTTGATAAGTCACTGAGCTCTTCTCTTAACATCTGTGTTAATTTTTCCCCATAGGGTATTAAAGATTATAACATTCTTACAAGGATCACTCAACTAGGAATCATTATTTCATTGATTTGTCTTGCCATATGCATTTTTACATTCTGGTTCTTCAGCGAAATTCAAAGCACTCGGACAACAATTCACAAAAATCTCTGCTGTAGCCTGTTCCTTGCTGAGCTTGTGTTTCTTGTTGGAATCAACACAAATACAAATAAGGTGGGTAAATCCTGGTGCTGTCTGTTTTTGTCATATTTATGCATGGTGTCCTAAGAATGCATGTTATAGAAATTTGGATTCCACTTAAGAGTTTAATGAGGCAAACAAATTATATAATTTATTTTTAAACTGCCCAAAAACTTGGTAACACATCTAAGCAACCTATTTATCAAGTTCTTTAAGCCAAAATTTAGAAGAGTGCTTCAAAAGGCAGGGGTAGAGTTAAATCATGTTCATTTCAACACAAAAGAAATGATTTGTATTTTTCATAATACATATTTCCCATACAGTTTTGGAATCCATGCATATTCATGGATTTCAACATTTTTTCATCATAAGTATATTTTCAATTCCGTGTTCCCTGAAAGTTATTAATATAGTCTCATGTGACAAATAGGCTTTATTTCATATTTTTACTTTCTTATCTATCCTTTCCCACAAAATATTTGTTTAAAATCTTAGCAAACATTTTCATATATGTTAGTGGATGTTTGTTTGAAGCAGTTACTAAGATGGAAGCAAACAGGCAATCAAGGTTTTGGGAAAGATGCATGTGAAGCAAAACGGGAAGTGAGAGATTAGGAAAACCATCAGATAATGATGCAAGTGTGATCCTAGGTTTAAGGAAAAGGGAAAAAAAGAACAGTGGGTGGGAGATGTCTTCGCAGTTATGTTCCAAGGAAAGTTCAGCAGAGTTGGCCAAGTTACTTTGAGAAGTCTTGTAGTCAAAGTTACATGTCAGAGGAATTCTGTCAGGGACAGACAACTAACTCTGCTGTGCTGTCACTGGCTGGCAGCAGCCTGTGGAAACTATGAGCAGCAGCCTCTAAAACCCCAGATCAGTTTTACTCCCTGTCAGTGACATTGGAAAATAAAATTCTCATGATAAGAAAAAAAATTAAATTGCTTCCATGTTTCCATTCTTCCTAGTGCTTTTCAAGGGCTGACATTAACAGTATATAAAGTAGATGCCACAAAATATCTATGTTAAATAGCATTCACTACTGTCAACTGCATATGCTTTTGTGTATTTTTTTGTCCAAGATTTATTTGTCTTATTTCGAAGGTGAAGTTGCAGAGAGAAAGGAAGAGATAGAGATTTTCCACCATCCACGGGTTCACTCCTTAAATAGCCAAGCAGCCAAGAGTGAACCAGGCAGACTCTGAGAGCCTGAAATTTCATCTGCTTCTTCTGTTGCTTTTCAGGGGTTGGTTTGAGTAGAGCAGGAGTGACTTGACCAGCGTGTATATAGGCTGCTGGCAATGCAGGCAGCCATTGAACTCAACTGCACCACTCAACCCAACTACACTACTGAACCCAGACCCCTGGTTTTGTGTTTTGCATTGCTCTTTATTACATTTTTTTTTTACTTCCCTCTATCTTCCACTCCGTAACGACGCCATTGGACTCATATGGTATCCTACTGCGATCATCTCCACAAACTCCAAAGCTATTCCTTGTGACTCACATTTTAGATTTTTCTTCCAACTATCAAGAATCATCTTAAATCCGACCTCCTCAATCATGATCCCCCAAATTTTAATTCTCAGTGACCTCTCCTTCCCCTAATCTTATTTAGTATTGTGTAATTTGTTTTATTATGCAATTGTCGTGTGTTCTGTTTTTTCAATTCCTATTCTTTTGTAAATTAAGAAGAGAAGGACAGAAAAGTAGAAAGCAGGAGCTCACATGCACCGTTGTGTTCCTCAAATGACTGAAATACCTGAGACACAGCCAATACCTGGAAACTCAGCTGTGATCTCCCATGTGGGTATAAAGAAGTCATCTACCACCTGCCAGGGAGCACAGCAGTGGGAGACTAATTGTGGGTTGGGGGTAGGGCTCAGACTCAGGCACTCTTGTTGGAACTGCAGGTGTTTCAATAAACATTTTTAACTGCTGAACCAATACCTATTCCACTCATGTTTTCAAAGGGTAATATGTATGTAAGCGAGGGTTATGTCTCCAGAAAATAGCTGCTTCTTTTTCTAATATTTCTTATAAATCAACTATCAAAGTTCCAGATTTTAGTTGTAAATTCATAGGCATAAATAATGTTTAATTGAATCATTTCAAATTTAATTAATACTCTTACAACTTACATCAATTCTATAATGGGTATTTCAGTAGCTACTATGCATATTTTAAATTCAATTCTGTCAATTAAGGCATTTTATTTAGTTTAGTAAAACCAGTATTTTCATTCTTTGTGAGTTGAAAAAGAGAAAGAGAAGATGCATGTTCAAAATGTCAACCAATTTAAATGATTGTTGCTGAAGAAACCCCAAATTGATGTGAGCTTTTCTGTAGCATGTCCAAGCTGGATCTGCTCTCCTGACACGCAATTGCTAACACAGGAATGGTGGAACAAAGTAGGTACTTCTTGCAAAGTGCAAAAGAAGAAGGTGAGCAGCTGTTGCTTAATTGTCCAGTAGTAGTTAAGAGTGAAGGAGCTTGTGCCACCTTTTGGGTTGTTCAGTGTAGCTCGTGACTTTCCTGTGATTGGTCAATGATGTTGTGCTCCATAGGGAATTTATTATGACCAGATAAGCTCCATCTGCAGGTTATAGAAGGTACAGTTATATGCTGGAGTTTTCCTACACAGATCATTCTAGGACAATACTGTCCTGAGGTTCTTATCTCTGTTGTAGAACAGAACCTTGAAAATCCAGCTGGATCACTTGCTTATATCAGTGGATTCCTTCTGATAGAAGACAGGCATGGACATCTTGTGCTAAGGGAGACCGAGAGGAAGCTAGGTCCTGCTTTTATGTGATGGGGGCTCATGTTCATTGTAACATGCACATTGAGACTCTTGTTCACTATTTAGTAATCCATAATTTATAACATGACATAGAATATACATATGCTAAACCTCTGGAAAAGCACAGACATGTACTGTTATCACAGGATTAATGTTTCTCATCAATGAAGGATAGTTCTTATATATCAGCAGAAATAGTATACCTTTATAATTGTCATGTCAGGGACATTTTCATGTGATCATGATATATAGTAGAATAATTTATTGGAAAAGTCAAGATACTGTGTTACCATTATGCTAAAATAAACATTATGTATGTTTTTCTTTCTTTGATTTACAGCTCTTCTGTTCAATCATTGCTGGTCTGCTGCATTACTTCTTTTTAGCTGCCTTTGCATGGATGTGTATTGAAGGCATACACCTTTATCTCATTGTTGTGGGAGTCATCTACAACAAGGGATTTTTGCACAAGAATTTTTACATCTTTGGCTATCTCAGCCCAGCTGTGGTGGTTGGATTTTCAGCAGCACTAGGATACAGATATTATGGCACTACCAAAGTGTAAGTTGATAATTCCATGAGCATTTAGATTATAATTCTAAATATATTTTCCATATATTTGAAATTTTTCTTAAAGTATATGCAACTAAATTTATAGATTTTATGTATTGTTAATTTTTCAGATGTTGGCTTAGCACAGAAAACAATTTCATTTGGAGTTTCATAGGACCAGCTTGTCTAATCATTCTTGTACGTATCTATAAAATTATTACAATACACAAAGGTGAATTTACTAGTACTTAAGCTTCTCAGCAAACATTATTCTAAAAATAAGATTTTTGAGTGGTTTGCAGTATGTCACTTATTAACATTTTATGTACAATGCATTTTATGTACAACTGAGAAAATGATACACATCTTGTAAATTCAAAGATAGCATGATTCATTTATGCCTCTGGTGGGAAGACAGATTTCTGCACGATACACATGAAAAAGCCTTTTCCACATATCAATAGTATCTCAGCATACTTCAGTACGAGAGTGTGTCAACCAGTAGATAATCTGGCATTTCACATGTTTATGTTATTTAATCTTTTATCGATGATCGGTCATCTTGGAAGATTAGACTGTCATCTTTATAGTTTTATCATCTTTATGTACCCTGTCATCACAAAGTGATTTTAAACAAAATTGCAACATCAGCGATAAAAACCCTCTATTTCTCATGAGCAGACAAATCATACATTGATAGGCCTATTTCGGCAAGGAAGAGGGCCTTTTAATTCTTATTGAAAACGGTTTCAAACCTACAAATTTGGCAGATATTAGGTGTTCCATTCTAAATAAAGACATATTTATATGTCTCAAGAGCATTTCTAAGTGCTGAAAGTTTTCAACAGCCATTCTGAATAAAATAGGTCTGTCAATGAATCTGGTAGGTCTGACATGACTCTAGAGTGGAATGAATTGTCAGCAAAAGAATCGTGACAATATTTTGGACAACTTTGTTCCATATGTTTGAGCCATAAGCTAGACGTCATTTTTAAAAATTTTCTCTCCCAATCTTTTGCTTGAGTTTTATTTATGATTGCAGAAGAACTAGTAAATGGAGAAAGACCTGAAATACGATGTAAGCAATTTCTTCAAGTTTTCATTTTTAATATTATGGATCAAATCAAGAGCATTCATAAATCATACTTCAGAATCACCACAAAATTGTTTACAATTTTCACAATGAATGTAGTGAGACACAATTTGTTCTAATTCCAATATTTTTGTACACATAAAAATGCAGACTGCCTGATGTCCTCCCATTCACGAATTTTATTGTTTTTCTGAAATATTATGTGGGATGACACATCTGATATATTCTAATTTTACTGAAAATTAGAAATTTGCTGAAAACAAGAAAAAGAGAAGCATATATACCTAAAATAAAAAATAAGAGGTGTTAAATTATTTTTATAGTCACTTGTGGATTACATAATTATTAGATTATTTTATATTACAGTTCACAGCCCAAAGGCAGGCTTATCTGAGAATGAGTCCTGCAACATTTCCTAAAAGTTAAAATGAACACCAACATGTTGCTCTAGCCTTGAATAGATGAATCAGTTTCATTTCTGTTCAGTTTCAGTAGAATTATTCTGAGATTAACTAATGGGTTAGGTTAATAAATAAATAGTTGGGGCAGGTGTTTAATGTAGCATTTAACTGTAGTTAGGATGCCTGCACCTCATTCCATGTTGAAATTCCTGGGTTTGATCTCCAGCTCTAGTTCTTTCCAATTTCCTGCTGATACATGCCCTGGGAAGCAGTGGCAATGGAACAAGACAGTGAGTTCCTGCCACCCGTAAGTGCGAGACCCAGATTTCCTTCGCAGATGTTGACATTGCACTTACCACATTTCATCCCTGGACTGACACCTTCTCTTCTCTCTCTCCCCATCTCAATCTCAAACAACTAATACTAAGAAAGAAAGAAGAAGTGAGCAAGGCACCTCAGTTCTTTTTCAGAGCTTTTTTTTTTCTTTAATTTTATGGTGTCTGTAACATACCAGAATTTCTTTCAGTAACTACTGAAGAGAATTTATCTACTTCAGTTGTCCGTTTTACTTAGAAGCTGACACATAATTGTTCTAAAGCTATAGAACATGAAAAGAAATGAAATCTTTCTGACCCTCCAGTGTAGTATCCAGATTGACAATAATGCCAAAGATACATTGAACATCAAACATTTTTTTAAAAGAGCTATGGACAATTTGGGCTCAGCACTGTCTATGGGTTTTACAAAGAGATAATAGAATCAGAAAGAAAAGTGAGGGGCTTCACAGGGTGACACCCAGACTAAGAAGACCTTAATCCTTGGGAGAATACAGTGTTCTCTGCTAAAAGCTTTTCCTTTATCTGATAGAGGTGGAGTTGATGCTTTCCCATCTTCTAAACATAGGATGAGAAGGGATACTCTAGAAAATGGAATAACAAAAAAAAAAAAGAGAGAGAGAGAGAGAGAGAGAGAGAGATGAAAACTGATGGAGTGCTTGCGTAACACAGAATTGTTTGTCTCTTCTGCAAATAGAATGATGAGAGTGTGATGGAGCAGATTTTTTATGAGACCTTGACATATATCCCCTGATTGGCTGCCAAATGTGTACTCATAGACCAGCACCTGCATTTGTTTGACATTTCCTGTGGATTTCATGCTTACGGAAGTGTCCCTCAACAGCAGGGAGGCAAGAATTATCATATAGTTTGGGGGGGATTAAATGATACAGGAACACACAAGCACCACCTGTTCTGGAAGCACAGCAAAATTATGGAAGTGGAAAGAAGTTGTAGGGCCGTCCATAGCAAGCATGGGCATGTATGCACAGCTAAGATAGCTGGTTGAATGGTGACAAGGCCACCTAACTCTGAAGAATTTAAAGATATAGGGTAAAAATGGAGCCCATGAACCTCAAGATTTAAATGTAACACCTATGTGGAGCACATCTTGTAAGCCAAGTGCATCGAGCGTAATAAGAAGCACACAAAACTAAAGTGATGTTGTGAAATTTGTGCAATAAAAATCAGGTGATTAGAGTGTCTTAACCCTAAGAAAAAAGAAGATAACCTAGAAAATGAAGGATGGCATCCCAGAACCTACCATGTCACCTCACACTAATCCATACTGATATGTACACACACACATACTTCACTGTACTTGAAATTTGATTATGACTCTATATGAAAAGGCCTAGCTTTAATTTCACGCTTGATCTTAGCCAAAAGGCCGAGAAGCAATAACTTTAATTTTGAAAGAAGTTTCTAAATCTTCGTAAAAAGCAAGTTCAAACTGAAGATAATTTATATAATTTATTTCTTCTATGTTTTTAATCTTTTTTATTGAATTCCTTCACCAAGAACTATGCAAAAAATTAGGTACAAGTACACAAACATAAAGAAGAGCTTGCAAAAACTATTTAGCTTTAAAAAGAAATTGAAGAATGGAATTTGCTTGATTGAAGCAAATACTAATTAAAAAATCACCAAATAAGGCATTGAAAAAAATGTGGACTTTCATTTGAATTTAAATGAAAACGTTTATAATTCTTATTATATGACTACTTTTATTCATTTTTATTCAGTTCTACCAAGAATGCTTATAGGTTTTTTTGTGAGGCCTCTTCAGGCTTTTCCCATGTCTACAATCTGTTTAATTCCCTTTCATCAAGAAATACCTATTACAATCTATCAAAAGTAATTACTTACTTAACCCTTCTAAAAAGGACAATGTGTAAATACACTGATTATTATGTGAAATAGTATTATTAAATTTCTACTTGTGCAAATTGCTCAAGGATGAAAGAAATGCAATTATCATAAGACTATGTAAAATAAGAAATGGACATTCCATTCTATATTCATATATTCCATAATTATTAAGTTTGTAATTTGAATTCTGAATCCTTCTAGACATTTGCTCTATATTTTGATTATGTGTAGTTTTGATAGCAAATTTTAAAAATCTGATTTTTATAACCTGCAGTTTATTCATCCATGTTCATATGTAGTTCCACCATTTTTAAAAATTGTGTGTTTGGTAATGCTATAATTTATTTAGCTACTTCCTAGCTGATGAATATTTAATGTTTTAGTGCTTCCTTTTTACAAAAAGTATTCTCCAGAGAGGCATTGTTTCAATGTAGTTGCATATATTAACTAGATGAAATTGACAGAAATGCTTCTTGGAAGAAAAAAATACAAATATATACAGATTTTAAAATTTATGAATTATATTTCAAAACAATTGTTTTAATTAACAATCAGTAATAAACAAGTTCTCTTTTTCTGAATTTTTTTCAAGCATTAATTATTATGTATTAAGTTATCTTAATGGAATAGAAACATACCACTAGAAAATATTAGTCACAGATCAGGATTTCACAAAAGTACAGCAGTTGACACATTGAACCAAATTTCTTTGTTAGATGCTATGCTATGAATGTATAGTGAATATGTCTGGCCTCTGTCTATTACATGGCAACATACCCATCATCACCACTTCTACGTGACAATCAACTGTGTGTTTAAGATACAACAAAATGTCCTCCTGGTAAATGGAATCTCCAATTTTCCTTAATTATTCATCATTCACATAATATGTTTAGCAATTTTCTAGAATTACCAGGAGTATTTTAAAAATTATAGCTTTGGTACTCTCTTTTTGACTGTCACATTAAAATTTTCCTCATAAATGCTATAATTGTAAATATTAATGGGAACAGCACCAATATTTTAGCTGAGTACTAATTAAATGTTATGTTTGTTAGGTGTACCTTCCAATGACCCCTGTGGTCCAAGGCATATGAATATTCTAACCTGTCTATATGTTATATATTAATAAGACTTTCAATGTCTAAAATGTTTTGCTAAATATCTCTATTATGTTGAGTTTTCAAAGTTATGGAAAGATGGATTTTTTAAAAAAGAGAAAGTGGACTTTATAAAATTACAATATAAATAACACACTGGTGGTTTTCAGCATGTTGCTGTCTATCTCAGCGTTCCTCTTAGAAACTTCCAAAATGCATGAAAACAAAAATAATAATAACATTTACCAAAGATATTTTTCTAGGTTTTCATACTCCCTCCCATAAGCTAATCTTAGTTTACTTAAAAGGAGCAAGAGGTGGCCCCATGTTTATAACTTTTTCAATAAGTGGAGCAATTACTAGAAAAAAAATTTGTTTATTCCAAAAGAAATTGTGC